GCAGGAACTGCTTGGCACTTAGGCATGCACAAGCTGGAAGAAGTGTGGAGCCACCTTCTCCCTACTTCAAAGACAACTCAGAGGCACATTTCTTAAGGCTCCCCAGAAGGTCCCTCAAGATCAAGACTAGTACCTATGTGATGTCCAACTCCTGCATCCTTGATTGACTTTCCTTTCTTCTGTTTCCTTTCTCCATCACTCCCGTACCCTGGGATCACTTCCCAAATAAACGACTGCATGCAAACTTCTGTTTTGGGCTCTGCTCTTAGAAGAACCACGGCTAAGACAAGCAGTAAAGTAACACTGGCAAGCAAAATGATGACTTCTAAGATTAGTCTATTGTAACCATATATTTTACTTTGTGAATGCCTACATAAAGTTTTTTGTTTCTTTTTTAAAACATTGCTGGTTAGAATAGACCAGGGCTATCAACTATAAAGCTGGAAACATAATCATAATCGAATTCCCTAAAAAAGCCACAAACTTGTTTTACAGCCTTAAGTTTTTATCCAGGGCTACTGCTATAATTTTTTAGTATTCAGCTTCACTTTGAAAAGCTAAGCCACTTACATGAATACGTCAGTAGCATCTTCATAAAAATCTTTTCTGTTAACTTTAGCTCGAAGTAAGGCTTTATCTTTCCATTCTGAATCTTACTGTACAATTCTAAACTGGTCCATCAACTTTTTTCTCCTGCTTTTTGCAAATATCAGTGTTCTCACTTAAAACTAGTTCTTGGTTTTTGTCTTTCACTAGAGAAAATGTTACCACCTCTATGACAAGAGGTTTTCTGTGATAAGTCTGAATTTTGCTGTATTCTTGGTTGGTTCCACTTCACAATAGAGTATTCAGATATCTTTTACACATACAATACTATTTTAACTTCTATAAGCTTTGTGAGTTATAAATGAAGGGCAGAGAAATCAAGTAATTTGCCCAAGACCCAATATAATAAATATTAGAACTGGAACTTAAATTCTGGTCTTCTGATTCTGAATCCTGTGTTCACTTGAAGGTGAATGATCCCAGTCTGAAATGACTCATGTTTCCAGTATGGACTGACTGAACTTTTATCAAGAATATTTTTTTTTTATATTCAAATAAGGACTCAGAAAAAAAGATAAATTATAGGCATAGAGAGAAGCATTTATCTTCCATCTACCTATAAATGCTTAACAGAAAAGTAGCCCCTTTTTTACCTAGCCCATTTTAATACTTAAATATACATAATAGACATTGTCTTTAAAAGACAAAAGCCCAATAAAAACAGGGCGAATCCTTCTCTACATAGTAGTAAATAGGTTTTCACATAATGGACTTATATATGCTCTTGTTTGTCAATATGTTAAAATAGAAACACTGTTAAAATAGGAACAGTATCTGTTCTAATGAACTGCATAATTTATTTATAAACTTTTTTTTCCCCAGCACAAATTCATTCTTGCTTTGGGAAGATGCAGGTTTTAAAGATGAAATTATCCTTCTGCAAATTATAGATACACAACATTTAAAACAATGTTGAAATTCTATATGTTCAACTCCAGTTGGCAAAAAGAATTTTGAATCTTCAGCTAAACTAGAGGCCATCAGTCTTAAGATTTCCTGTTATATTTGCTATAAAGCATCTCAACAGATGGATTCCAGAATAGGTCACAGAACTGTGAAAAGAAAAGAAAAATTTTCTTATTTCAGATATAGTAATATATTTGAATTCATCTAACTTAAAAACTGCTTAAAAACTCTTGAGTTCCACGTATGAAACCAAATGTCTTAATTTGTTCTACCTTTCCTCTCTTCCACCAGCCTCTTGTATTCGAAATCTGATGATCCACATTATCTGATCAATTTCCTTCCGGATCCTAAAAATTTCACCGTATCTACAACTTTGCCTTTTATTAACCAGACTAAGTTTTTTTTTTTTTTTAAATTGAGGTATAATTGACACGTAACATTAGCTTCAGTTGTACAACATAATGATTAGATACTTGTATATATCGTAAAATGATAGCAGTAAAGTCTAGTTAACATCTGTCATCAAGCATAATTATAATTTTTCCTTTTCTTGTGATGAGGAATTTTAAGATCTGCTCTCAGCAACTTTCAAATACGCAATACAGTATAATTGTCACCATGCTATATATCTCAATGACTTGATTATTTTATAACTGGAAGTTTGTACCTTTTGATCCCGATCACCCATATCTCCTATCCCCCAACCTCCACCTCTAACAACCACCAATCTCTGTATCTATGATTTTGCTTTTTTGTTGTTTCTCAAATTCCACATATAAGTGAGATCATATGGTATTTGTCTTTTCTGCCTGACTTATTTCACTTAGTATAATCCCCTCAAAATCCACCCATGTTGTCACAAATGGCAAGATTTCATTCTTTCTTATGGCTGAATTGTATTCCATTGTATATATATCCACACTTTCTTTGTCCATGCATCTACCAATGGACAGGCTGTTTCCATATTTTGGCTATTGTAAATAATGCTGCAGTGAATGTGGGGGTGCAGGTATCTTTTTTAAATTAGTGTTTTTGTTTTCTTCAGATAAATACCTATAAGCGGTATTTTGGGATCATATGGTAGTTTTTTTTTTTTTTTTTTTTTAAGATTTTATTTATTTATTTGAGAGAGAGAATGAGAGACAGAGAGCACGAGAGGGAAGAGGGTCAGAGGGAGAAGCAGACCCCCGCCGAGCAGGGAGCCCGATGTGGGACTCGATCCCGGGACTCCAGGATCATGACCTGAGCCGAAGGCAGTCGCTTAACCAACTGAGCCACCCAGGCGCCCTGGTAGTTCTATTTTTAATTTTTTGAAGAACCTCATACTATTTTCCATAGAGTCTGCACTAATTTCATTCCCAACTGTGTACAAGGGTTCCCTTTTCTCCACATTCTCACCAATGCTTGTTATTTCTTGTTTTTTTTTTTTTTTTTGCCTTTTTGATAATAGCCATTCCAATAGGTGTGAGGTGGTATCTCATTGTGGTGGTTTTGATTTGCATTTCCCTGATGGTTAGTGATGCTAAGCATCTTTTCATGTTTTCATCTTTTCCTGTTGGCCATGTGTGTGCACTCTTCAGAAAAATGTCTATTCAGATCCTCTGCCCATTTTTTAATCAGATTTTTTTTTTTTTTTTTTTGCTATTGAGTTGTAAGGAGTTATGTATTTCAGATATTAGCCCCTATCAGATACATGATTTGCAAATACTTTCTTTCATTCAGGAAGTTGCCTATTCATCTTGTGGATGGTTTCCTTTGCTGTGCAGAAGCTTTTTTTACAGTTCACTGTAGTCCCTCGTGTTTATTTTTGCTATTGTTGCCTTTGCTTTTGGTGTCGAATCCAAAAAATCATTGCCAAGTCTGATGTTAAGGGCCTATGTTTTCTTCTAGGAGTTTTATGGCTTCAGGCCTTACATTCAAGTCCTTAATCCATTTTGAGTTAATTTTTATGTATAATGTAAGACAGTAATCTAAGTTTCATTCTTTTGCACGTAGCTCTCCTGTTTTGCCAACACCAGATATTGAAGACACTGCCCTCCTCTCATTGTATATTCTTGGCTTCTTTGTCATAGTGACCATATATGTGTGGGATTATTTCTGGCCTCTCTATTCTGTTCCATTGATCTATGTGTCTTTTTTTATACCAGTACCATACCTTTTTGATTACTGTAACTTTACAATATAGTTTGAAATCAGGGACCATGATACCTTCAGCTTCGTTCTTTCTCAAGATTGCTTTGGCTCTTTGTGGTCTTTGGTAGTTCCATACAAATTTTAAGATTGTTCTATTTCTGTGAAAAATGCTATTGGAATATCTTCTATTTTTGCCTTTTATTTCCTAGACTAAAAGTTTTGATTTCTTTAGTTTATTCTTCTTGTGACAAAGATTCAACAACCTTGATAATTTAGACCTTTTTTTTGTCATTTTAAAAAAATCATCATCACCATTATTGTGTCTATTACTGTCTACTCATCTTACTATATCCATCCATATGCATCCATCCATTTGTCAGCTGGAAGTGACCACATGGTTTCTCAGGCTACATGGACTTTTATGAATACACTATGATTTTTATGGATACAAGAATTGTATATACCTGCATATAAAACAGGTAAAATATTTTCTGCTGTACTCCTAATTCCCTTCTTGATAAAATACAGCATTTTAGACTTTTTGACCAAAGCTGCTTGCTTGAGAACAGCCCATAATGATTTCTGGGTTATTAAGTGAAGCTATATAGTTTAAAGAAGAAATACACGTTGGACTGTCCACACATTAATTATGGCATCTTGAACTCATTTGCAACATTTCTGTCAATGTTGTAATGTGATTTTCTTTGTCCTTAGAGTCCATTGTCTTTGCTTGGAATTCCACTATATAAAAAGCAATTATACTGTACCTACTTACATATTTCTCCCATGATTTATACAGACAGACTGATCCCAACATCAATTTTTAGGGGCTCTTCACCATTTACACATCTCTACTCAGCTGGGGCAGAGTTCTGACATGAAGTTCAGCACTTAACTTTTGCCAAAGCCTTAAAGGCCAAAGCTTGCTGGCCTATACTTCCACCTTTCTCCTATAAGGATTATAGGAAGAGAAGGAAATAAAACCTGACTTATTTTATCATAATTATTTCATGAATAGGCCAAACTTCTTTCTGGAGGGATGGACTAGGACTTGGTCTTGCACATAAAGCCAAGGAATGTATATAACTCTACTTTCTGAATTGGGTTTTGAGAGCTACAAAGTCCAGTCTGCCAAATTCCTGTATGTGGTCACTATATACAATGAATGTTGAAGTTCTTGAAAGTCACCAGGCTCCTGCATCTCAAGTCTTAGACTTGAATGGCTTCTGCAGTGCCTTGGTCACTTACGGCAAGTACAATGGCAGCAGTGATTCCAGGGTCATACAGCAGAGAATGCTGACATATCTAAAGAAGTGAGTATCTTTAAAAAGTACTGAGAATCTGATACTCTGGGTTGTTGGCCTAACCCTGCTACTTACTGACTTGGCAAGAAAGGAAGCTAACATTTATGATGTGTCTGTGTGTACATCCATTTTATTTGATCATTCTAACAATCACATTTTTACTAGTGAGAAAACAGACTCAGAAAATGAAATAAGTTGCTTTAAAATCTATAGCCAAGAAGTAGAAGAACCATGCAAAATCAAGGCTGTCTGACCCCAAAGCCCATGCTCTTTCTATTTAAACCAATACCTCTCTGCAACTTACTTCATTTCCTTGACCTATAACCGTAGCTGGAAATAGGGATGTTTACTGTGAGGACCAGGTAAGTGTTATGAATGATGTAACCTTCCCCAAGACCATCTGTTTTCAGATAGCTCTAGTTGTTCTCAATGTCGAGTCACCGTCTAACCTGATTGGTCTGATGGCATGTAGCTCAAAGCTATGTGGAACTACTGCTAGATCATTCCCTTGTTTGGAACACTATAATTCTATTAATGTAGGTCAAGAAAACATTGTCAGTTTTTCCCCAGCCCCATTAAACTGTTAATTCAAATTCAGCTTATAGTCAACTAAAGATTAATTTTTTTCCCCAATAAATGTTGCTGTTAAGCCACAGTCATCTGTCCATCTTATGTTTGTGCTGCATTTTTAGTGACGGTCTCACTTCCTTCTTATTAAACAGTTAAAAGAAACAGCTATTCTTCCATGACAATGCTCAGGGCTCTAAGAAGTAGGATTTCATTCCTGCCCCTAGGAGTCTCCATTATACAGATGGGACACAGACAAATGAACAGGATAAATACTTGAATGAAAGTCAAGGGAGAAGAGCATTTTGTAGGAATGACTGAATGAAGGATTCTGACAGGCACGTTCATAATTACAAACAATTTAAATGTGATCTGGATTGGTAGGACCTTGAATGACTGATTAGGGGACAGTTTCATATACAACTGTTACTTGGTTTAATTATTTCTCATAGCAAATACCATATTGCTTTCCTCAAAGAAGTTAGAGTAAGAAAATCCTATGGGAATGGCACTATATCTCTGCTCCAGTACAAGGTACTTACCATATCCAAGGTATAAGCTAAAAGTATAGACTCATGTTTCATCACTAAACTCTATCAAATATCTCAAAATTGCCAGCTCTAGAAATAACCATTCTGTCTCTACCAATGCTTAATTCTAACTTATAAGAAGCATTTCTTTATATTTGGTCTCTTTAAAGAAAAATTTTTATCCCTCACAGCCTGCATGGCTTTCTACTATAGAGATAATTTGTTTTTCTTTGAAATTGAGAAAAGCATGGTAGTATCTTTATTGTGGCTGTTATTTAGCTGATTTTAAAAAGCAAAAATTTTCACTTCTGCTGAGATCTAGGATTGAGCTAGGCTGCAGGGAAGATCCAGCAGGAGCCTGCAGAAGGAAGACAAAATAGAAGGAAGAAAAAAATAAAAGTGCTGATGGGTTGTACCAATAAATCATGGTTAAGTGCATAGTCTTCCAAACTCCTCTTATTTTAAGTGATACCTCAATTTAAGAAACACTATATAATACTAAAGGATGTTAGTACATAAAGTTATAAAATAATTCAACTTTTACCTTATAGGAAACAACTGAGGAAAACATCCTTGTGTTTCAGTGTCAACAAATTTCTGGATCTGAAGCACTTGTTTTAAAAGATGTCCCCTGGAAGATTTGTCAATTTTTGTTAATACCATCTGTAAGAAAACAAATACTTAAGCATTAGAAATTAAGTCTTTTTTAATATACAGTTTTATACATTTTAGCTACAATTTTTGTTTAAAGATTTATTTATTTATTCTAGAGAGAGAATGAGTGCATGGCGGGGGGTGGGGTGGGGAGGGAGAGGGAGAGAGAAACCTTAGCAGACTCTGGCTGAGCATGGAGCCCAATGCAGGGCTCAATCCCGCAACCCCAAGATCATGACCTGAGCTGAAACCAAGAGTCGGACGCTTAACCAACTACACCACCCAGGCACCCCTAGCTACACATGTTTAATAACAACTAGGTGATCCTTGTAAGTTTCTTAATCTCTCTATACTTATTTTTTCATCTATAAAATAAAAGCAACACTCCCAAAAGGAGTTACCATGAAGATTAAATGAATTAATGTATGCAATGTATAAAGCATATACTACGTGTTTGCTGTTTAATGGTGTTTTAACTACACAGGGCCAACATATCTTGGATTCAAGACTAGTGAAAAGGACCCTTGAGCCGTATTTGCAATTGACATAAAACAAATTTCATATGATCACTATATATCTTATGTTAACTAAGACACATAATATTATTAGGTTGATCCATATAAAATTGCCAACTTATAATCATTTTTGACCTACAAAATGGTTCTGCCTTATATGTAATAATATAAAGGAGAAACTAGAAATCAGGCTATTTGTATCTTATATCCACTACAATTATAGGATGACTACAAAATCAATTAAAAAGTAAAACTTTGACCTTCAATTTTCCTGGGGAATTTCTATAAAATTAAATTTCCTGACTATTCATTTATGCTTTTCAGTTATAAAAAATGTTAATGGTAAAAGGAGTGAGAAGCAGAAAGTGTGTGGTTTCTAATGACTTGTGAGTCCCTCCAATTGGGAGTCTTTCCTCATAAGAGCAAATATGCTGATATTTAAAAGGAGACATAATTCCTCTATCACAACCTCTTTCCAAAGAAGAAAGCAATATTTCTTTTGAAACTGAGGAAAATGTACAATTTTACAAATTGGTACCTATGATACCAAATCAGGAATACTCTATCACTTAAAACCAGTTTGGCACTATTGGGTATTTTCTACTATGTGGACTATAATCAAACCTTTGGCTCCTCATACTGACTGTAGTTATAGTTTATGCTTCACAGGGCTTTTGCAAACCCCCAAAATTCCATAACCCCAAGAATACAAAAACATCGCTGATTAGTAACATGGTTTGATTTGCATTAAACTTCACTTTTACATTTTAGTGGTTTCCTTTTTTTGAAACCAAATTATAGTCAATGGATTCTTTTCCTTAGAAAGGAACTCTGGAGTGCTGTTTTTTCTGGAAAACTCACAAAGCAAAGTAAATGTGGATACCAACCTACTAATTTGTATTCTATTCTAGGACAAACAACAGAAAAAAATACTGGTAAGATATTCCCAGAAGAATGTAAAAATCCTACCTGTGTGTGCTGGAGCCTGCTATTTTCTTGCAATGGTTCTTAAACTACAAATTACTTTAGCAAATTTTTCAGTTGCAATGTCATTTATACTTTGATAAGTAGTATATGCCAAACTGCTGTTAAAGAGCCACTAATATGTTTTAGACAAATTTTATATTGCCATTAAAAAAAATGAAAGGGAAAAGCACTTAGGAACACTAAATGAACAGCTTAAAAATACTTTACTTTGACTATAATTTTGAAAATTTAAGCTGAGAGAAAGAAAAAGAATATAAATACCACAGAACTTATCTACTAATGGCTGATAATCAAAAAGATTATTTGAGAACTACTCTTGCAGAGACAAGACCTGCTCTCTCACTAAAAAGACACACACACACAAGCATGTGCACATGCATACACACAAACTGGTATTTCCAACAGCAACCATGATTCAAAAGAAATACTTACCACATAAGGTAATGCAAATTCTTCACACATTCCTATGGCAATACTGTCGGTTTTTTGAATTCCGACAACACTATCCACTAACAAAAATGTTCTCATCAAACTATAAGAATGCAGAAATAAAAATTAATGACAATATCAAATATATGCATTCATTTCTCCCCCTGACCCTCACTATCCTGAGAAATTTTCTTTTGAATAATTTTCACTCCAAAATTTAAAAATTTTTTAGGCAAAAGGAATTCTCAGTTCACTAGAAGTTCATCCTACAATCCAATAAATCTCAATGCCATTACTTTCAATAACTAAATTTACTAAATATTAATTTATTTCAATAGCAAGTATTGGACCTAAGATCCTCTGCCTAGGGCTGGACACAAAGATGAGTGAGTCCCTTCCTTTAAAAGCTTGAACTCTAGGGACACCTGGGTGGCTCAGTCAGTTAAACGTCTGCCTTTGGCTCAGGGCATGATAGTTTATTACACCTAGACTACTGCTTCCCTATTATCAAGATGTTTTGCGTGTTTCATTAGATGGTTTAGTGCTTTCATTAAACCATTTTTTAAAAGCATGTACAACACTATAAAACATGTGTTAAACTAAAATGATGTAAAGATGACAAAAAGTTCCGCATTGGGCTCCTTGCTCGGCGGAGAGCCTGCTTCTCCCTCTGCCTGCTCTGCCTGCAGTTCCCCCTGCTTGTGCTCTCTCTCTCTCTCTCTGACAAATAAATAAATAAAATCTTAAAAAAAAAAAAAAAGCTTGAACTCTAGTGGGGAAAGAGACATGAACCCAATTAACTGTAAGTTATCACAAAAATGTCTAAATTCTCAAATATTATTTTAAGAGTAACAGATAAGAGAAACCAGAGACATTATGTTTTGTATTTTTTGTGTGTAAATATTTCATCTTAGTTTCTGTGTAAAGCTACAACGAGCAAGATACTTGTAGATACTTTTTTATATTTCAAAAATTTAATTTTTCTATATGTTGTGCAATGCTTAAAACAGAACTGCAATTTGACTACCTATGGAGACAACAAAGATAACATTTACAGAGGATGTGATATCAGAGGTATTTTTAAAATGTACTGAGGTTTATTTAAATTTAGTAAATACCACATTAACCAATAATTTTTATTTTCAAAATTAGCCACCCACAAGTTTGACATAAGAAAATTAATGAACTCTGCTGAAATACATTTATAGTCTTAATTTAGAAAAACTTTTGAATTTAAGATTAAGCTAATCTACAAGAAAAAAATACGCAAGCAGTACATACTTTGGCCCTAAATATTGTATTGTAGAATATTATGAGAATAAAATGGACTTTCTAAAAGAAGTCATTTGATAATATGGAGTCATAATGTGGAGAATGTTCCATTAATGAAAACATGCTTTTGGATTAAATTTATAAGAAAATATTTTCCTTACTTTCTTCGTTCTTTTAGATAGGTCTCTACCATGTCAACAAAATCTTCGGGAGCTCTATAGCCATAACCTGGCATGTCCACCAATGTAAAATATTTTCCAACTTTGAAAAAATTCATTTTCTTTGTGTGCCCCTGATAAAATAAATGGAAAAATAAAAAATTTCTTAAAATACATCCTTTATATATTTAATGACTCAAAATATTTTCAATTCAATCAGCATATATTTATTAAAAGCCTAAGTGTTCTGAATATAATCCTAGCTGTGCTGCTAATGATAAAGGAAAAGAATATAGAAGGGAAGTGGCTGGAGATAAGCTTAGAAGATACTACTTCTTCCCTCCAATTCATTTTTAAGAGCATCCATATGACTTAAGAAGAACTTTCGATTAGGAATATGTACCCAAAATATGTCAGAGTCTTTTCATTAGCTCTTTCTCAGGGAAAAGTTACCCTATAATGGTGTCACTACATTAGTCAATATTCTCTGATGAATAATATATCTCCACTTTAAAGAGAAATAAATTATGGCACAGATTGGTTAAACTAAAAATACTTACTGTCAGCCATATAGGTTTTCATAAAACCTAGATGCAAAACCTGATAGTTTATTACACCTAGACTACTGCTTCCCTATTATCAAGATGTTTTGCGTGTTTCATTAGATGGTTTAGTGCTTTCATTAAACCATTTTTTAAAAGCATGTACAACACTATAAAATATGTGTTAAACTAAAATGATGTAAAGATGACAAAAAGTCATGGTTTTGTGTCCAATGACACTATTAATCAGAAAACAAAAGATTAAGATAAACAGCTTAAAAAGTCAATTTTTGGAACTTAGAACAAATATTTTCAGAGGGAAGATTTTATAAAACAGTGCTTAGGTTCCCAATCAGTTGAGATGTCTATCCATAGGAAAATGACAGATTAGGAATGTCAAGAATACATTTCTTCCTCACAGCAGGAAGGGAACCCACCCCACCTAGAAATCAGAGTTTAGCTGTGTTATTTGGTGAGACAGAGTAGGCCTAAGGATAGGAGATTTAATGAATTACAATCATCTGCATCAGTGATGGAGCCAGGGAATCAACTATATGAAGAAATGGGGAGGAAGAGAAGACTAGGGAAGCTTCATGGAAGGGTTCCAACGCAAAGAAAGTGGGGCAGTGAGCCGTAGGTTGGTGGGAACGTTTTGCCATGGATAGATAATAAGGTGAGGGGAACTGGGGGTGAGTTTTAAGGACACCGTATCTTAGATATTGGTAGTCTGCATCACTGAGAAAGAGTAGAGGAAATTTAAAAAATGACAGAAAGCTACTAGAGCAGACTGGCTGGGATAATCACATAATTTGGCCCTGGGTAAACTGGGGTCTGCCCAATATATATACGTATATGTATGTGTATATATCTGTATCTGTATCTACACCTGCATTTAAGAGACAAGGGGTAGTAAGAGAAGGGAGGGAGAAAGGAGTTAGCAAGGTATACAAAATTATAGGAGGGAAAAGCCACTTCAAAGCAGTTTCCTCTAAAACCAGGGTAGGACTAGATGATCATTCTTAAAGAAGCAAATATAGAATGGCAATAGAACACTTTATTTGGCAACTTTTTGGAAAAGATTTGGACAAAAGATTTCCTCAAGAAACTGGCAAGACAGCTAAAATAAATCCAGACATACTTCCTTCTTCTTCAGGGATATATATATGGGCATCAATAAAATGTCTTACTTTACTACTTGTTTCAAAGAAATCACTGTTCTAGGAACTTAGCAAGTATGATTTCTTGTACCTCTCAACATTAATTAGTTACTTTAGTCAATTCAGAGATAGTTCAGACATATTTTACATTTCAATATACTGTTTCTTTTATATCCCACCTCCCCAACCCTTTCCTTCAACATACCGGTTTCTTGGAGACTCTGACTTCAACCTCTGGGGCCAGTGAAAATAAGGCTTTTATTAGAGAGGATTTTCCAACATTGCTTCTGCCTATAAAACACACCTTATACAAGGAAAAAGAAGATAACTGAATACTAGGTTTATATATACATTTTTTTTTTAAAGATTTTATTTATTTATTTGAGAGAGAATGAGATAGAGAGAGCATGAGAGGGGGGAGGGTCAGAGGGAGAAGCAGACTCCCTGCTGAGCAGGGAGCCTGATGTGGGACTCGATCCCGGGACTCCAGGATCATGACCTGAGCCGAAGGCAGTCGCTTAACCAACTGAGCCACCCAGGCGTCCCTATACATTTTTATTATATGTTGTATTAGCTGAAAAAATCTGTCAAACTATTGTCTTGCCTAGCCATGTAAAAAGGTGGCTTATGTTTAGTCGAACCTCAAATTCTAAAATATAGCTACTATCTACTGATACCCGGTACTTTTCAAAGCACTTAATATAAATTTTCTTACCTACTTTTTACAACAACCCTATAAGGTAGGTAATATTATTATCCCCATTTTACAAATGATAAAACTAGAGGTAAAGAGATGTTAAATAACTGGCCCCAAATTATATAGCTAGAAAGGGAAGAAGTTGGAATTTAAACTCAGGACATCTATATCCAGAACCTGTGCCTTTAACTACATTATGCTACTCAAGAATATCTGGGACATTTATTAAGCATTCCATATTTACAAACTTTTTGAAGTTAAAAATTAGATGTCTCAACAAAACTTATTCTAAAGTACAACTACATGTCTGAAACTGCATTTCCCCATGAACTCCCAGAGTAGACTGTAACACCATTGTATTTATGAGGTTATTCCTTCCCCTTGACCTCTTGTTCCAATTAAGCTTTTCTCCTTTAGCCCTCTATAGTGTAGAAAGGAACATAATGTTCCTGATACTAACCATTGATATACATACTAACCATTGATATACATGACTCTGCTTTTTAACATGGTATTGAAGGGGGTACAATACCAATCAGTGGTTCTAGGTGAAGGTGGTATCACCCTCTGGCCGGGAGGCGTTTTGGAAATCTGGAAGGGCATTAAATTAAATGGCTTTTTATTGAGGTTATTTGAATAACCTCAGGTTATATATATATGTATATATGAATAGGACTGGGTGGCAGTGGGTGGGGCCAGGGATGCTATATATCTTTCAAGACTGCCGTTAGTCCTTCAACATGAATTGATCTGTCCTGCATAAATTTCAAATGCTCTGCCAGATTAAATCCAATGATAATATATAAACAAAACTAAATTTTAAGAAACGAATTACACAAAAAGTCCAGTAATTCAGAAATTTCAGTCAAAACACGACGCTATCTCAAAATTATTAAATGACTTACTTACCCCTTAGTTCTATTTAAACTATCATAGCAGTTCTGATTAGAAGGAAAATTTCCACTGCAGTGGTGCAGTGGCAAATAATGAGCTCTCTAAGACATGCATAAAATGCACACTCATGGAATTTCACTAAAAGTTGATTTAAAAAAACCTACATTGTTGCCATGTATATATAATTATTACTTTTGCACGACAGAAGACTTAGACTGGGTGAAAATTACGTACTGATAAGGATCACCACATTTGTGTAACTATTATACTTTTCATATTCTTCACTTTGTCTCATTTATCTCGGCATGTTTTCCCTTACGTTAATTAAAAAGGAAAAAGATAATAAAAAGCCATTTAAATTTCTGAACTGGTTTGGGTTTTACAATCTTCTAGTCTTGTACATTCATTACCAAAATAACAAACTATATATGCTTATTTAGTTAAAATAATTACATGCGTCCCCACAAAGCTAGAAAATCTCTCTCGTTCGGTGACAAGAACAGGTGAGGGCAAAATGCCTGCCCGAGTGGTCACGACCTGAGGGCAGCGGTGGCTCTCACCTCAGGGTGGGGGAGGTCCGGGGCGTGGTCGAGACGCACCGCGGAGCTGAGGTACTCGATGCGGTTGCGGCCCGTGGCCGTGAAGACGCTCTCCGCCTTGGAGATGTCCTCCAGACTCGGGTCGAAGGTCTTCACGTGAAGGTCCAACCTCGAGTCTGGTGTGAGCTGCCGCTGGAGTTCCTGTAGTGGGAACACGAGCTTCGTCATTTGTCTCGTGGGCAGCCTGAGAACTTCCGCGAAGGTTTGGAACGTGCTGCAAGCTCGGTTCACGCGCCCCAGCGCCGCCGGCAGCTTCAATAGCTTGCCGGTGGGTAGTCGCAAGCCCCGTGCTGTCATTTTCCTCTCCCAGAAGTCCCGCGCTGGGCCCTGCGCCGAGGTCTGGTTTGCGCCTGGGTGATCCCGCTCCCGCTATGCCTGATGGGAATTGTAGTCTCGTCTGGCCTCACACACGCGCCTCAGAGCTGCCAATCCACAGAGGCCGAGGCAGCGGTTTCCCCGCGACGGGGAGGTGGGTGTGGGGACTCGGGGGCTGATCGTTGACTCACGCTCAGCTCCAGACTGACGACTGTGCCTTTGACTTGTGTATCACTGTGGGAAGGTTGTTTGACAGTTTGCAGAGGTGCAAAGACATACCTGGGCTGTGTGGCCCTCGAGTGTCAAACGCGAAAGAGCAAACGTGTGAAGCTCTGGTGGATTCCAGGCCTGTTTACGCCTCACAGTATCCGGTTGTCTCATGGATCATTGACGTTTGTTGACGTATACATCACTAGGCAAAGCTAATTCCGTTGTAGAGCTGCAATGAATATAGAGTCCAAGAGGGAACTGTCAAAGCCCAGGAAAATCAGGCCAAATCAGTATTAAAGGGGATTCAGTCTGGTGGATGGGATGTTGCAACACTCTCTGTGTTCTTGTGATATTCTGACTGATGGTTGGCAGCATATTGGTTCCAGGTGGTCTGTCTGGGTGAACTAGCACCCTCTCCAAAAGATCTAGCCTCCTGGCTAGGCAGGGTGTCAGGGTTTAGATTCAGTATAGGATTTAAATCCTAGTGGGAAAAAGGAATGTGGATTAGGAAACCAAGCCGCTACTTAAATCGTACGGATTGCGCAAACATAACAAGGACGTGAGATAAGGCTTGAATTGATCCAAGGGGATCGCTCCTCCCAGAGAACTGTGGAAATCCCACCCTGGGTCTAGTTCCACAGCACTGAGGTTAGGATGTATTTTGCTAAACTGTAGAAGCCTGGGGAGGCCGATAAATGAGGACTGTATTCATGTACTGTGCTATTATGTACTCCCCTGTATAATACTGTATGTACATTATCTAACAGAGTGATCAGGCACCCCTGCTAGATTCCATCATTTGTTAATTCATCAAATATGTAATGAGCACCAATTATATGCCAGGCACTATACTAGGTGCTGGAGATATATCAGTGAGTAAATGAAACAGGTAAGAGTTTCTGTCCTCATGTTATTGCCTTGAGACAATAATTAAGTAAAACACAGAATATACTGGATAATAAATGCTTAGGAAAAAGCCAAAGCTGAGTCACTAGAGTGTGTGTGTGTGTGTGTGTGTGTGTGTAGAGCTGTAGGAGTGTTGCATTTTAGTGTGATCCTCACAGAGCAGGTGATATTTGAGTGCAAACTTGAAGGAGGTGAGAGAAGCATTCCAGATATATGTGCAAAGGCTCAGAGGCAGGAATGTGTATGGCTTTCTGAAGAACAGCAAGGAGGCCAACGTGGTCAGAGTGGAGTAAACAAGGATGGATGCTGGCAGTGACTCTAACTATTCCTATCAAATTAGTTTGGATATAGACATTTGAACTGAATGTGTATTGTTTTTTGCTGTTTGGCATCCCTTGCATAGAAAGGAACCATCTATTCCCACTCTATGTGGTTCTCTTGGGGCTGTTGATAATAGAACTCTACTGATTACAAGAGGTAAGGTTTGGTCATACATTGTATATATTATGAGAATAATGACTATGTGAGTAATGTGCAGGTGACCCCAACCAAGCCACTCATTATGTTGAAGTTGGATGGGCAGCTGGCTCTGCTATTAAGTCACAGTGCTAGAATGTGACTCTAGCACTCATGATGGCCATTCTTCCCAGCTACATGGAGGACACCTACAGCGCTTTAAGAGACAATGACGCTAACACACAAAAACAATATTGAGAGGTGGGGGTCCAGGCAGTGTGACTCCTGATGAACTATGTTGAATATCATGTTCTCTGTCCCTCAGCTCTTCAATCACACAAGTCAATGTGTTCCTCATCTTGCTTTTACTGGACCTGATTTGACATGGATTTGACTGCAATCAAGAGTCCTGATTAATACAGCATTGTAAGATGTTGTGTGGTTCCTCATGTAAATCCAGAGCCATCAGACTAGTGGGACAGTTGGAGTGGCCTATGTAAATTTCAAACCTATTATAGAGGAGTCACAGTAAAGCTTCAGGGCTTAAAGTACCTGTGGCTGCAGGTTAGGCAGGCCAAAATGTTATCCTCCCTTAATGTAAAGGCTCGAATTCAGGGAGTTCAAGTTTCCCTTCCACTCAGGATATTTCTTCATCCAGTGGGTATTTATGATGTTTGGTAAAGGTCAGCAATCTAGTTACATTGTGAAAATTAGCAGAGTTCAGGATGTGTTTATGGTTCATCCTCCTGAGAAAAAGTACCTTCTGTTTGACAGCTTAGGAGGTAGTTCACCACAAAGTTAACAAGATTGTACTATTCAGTGTGACTTGGGGAGGTATTACCTACTTTGCATACACTTCATGGCATCAGCTTTTATTGCTACAATCTATCTGGCCTAAATGCTATAGTTTTACTCTGTCACGTTCATCTAATGAGAATGGGAAGAACACAGGTAGATCAGTGGCAGGATCTTACCATTAGGACAGGGTTATCTCAGTTGTTCTATCAGTGATGTCTGTCTCTATAATGATTGGCCATTAGTTCCAGAGTGATCTCAAATTATGTTCAAATTCTGTAAGTGTCGAGTTTAGGGAATCCATCTAACACACTGAGAAGGCAAACACTGTAGGCCAAAATAGGTAGAATCAATAATTTCAGAGAGTCAGCAAGCATAGCATACATGTAGATCAACTCTCATCTTAGGCCAAAAATGGTTTGCATGCTCTGACAGAAGCAAAGGCAGAGATTCTAGGAAAACTCACTTCTAGATGCAGAGAAAGGTAATGGACTAGGTCTCCATGTCCAATTTACACACAGATTTTCCTACCGTACTCTGCCCTTGTTTTAGCAATGGTAATTAACGTGCATTAAGTGCCTGCTATGCCTGGAATTGATCTGGGTTCCAGGAATAAAAATATAAGAAAAACATGGTCACAACCTAATTGGGACCTCCAACTCTTGTTTTAGGAAGAAAATATTGGGGGAAAGGAAGAAGGAAGAGGCATTACATGAATGAGAGCAACGTGGGAGAACCTACCACATGTAACTTAAATTGCTTAAATTGTAATAATTACTATCTGAATGGATGCTGTAAATTTAAAATGTATTGAATTATGTGTTTCTCAAGTTTTCTGCACAACAGCTCATTTCATTTAAAAAATGTACATTAGGGGTGCCTGGGTGGTTCAGTCGGTTAAGCATCTAACTCTTGGTTTCAGCTCAGGTGGTGATCTCAGGATTGTGAGATGGAGCCCCAAGCCAGGCTCTGTGCTCATTGCGGAGTCTGCTAGAGTTTCTCTCTCCCTCTTCCTCTACCCCCTGCCCCACCCACGCTCCCTCTCACACTCGCTCTTTCTCTCTCAAATGAATAAGTTAAAAAAATTAAATTAAAAAAATGTACACTAGTTATCCCCTAACATGTTGACACGTTTGTGGCGCACATGCAACATGATGTATGACTTGTTTCTCTAATTTTCTAATTGGATTATAAAGTATTCTTGAGATTTATTATTTTGCCATCATTCAAGAAACAGCAGAGATGTATTTCCTATGATCCTCTTCTTTGGGAACTCATCAAATAATTTGGTTTCACTTTATATTTCATTAATGTACCTTTAGAGAATATCTCTGACTTCAGAGAGGGTTTTTCCTTCACAGAAGCTTTTTGAGCTTTCTTTTAAGGTTGTGCCTGCTGTACTAACAGATTTCTTTAAAGAGATCTGGAGATTAAATATCAGACGGTGCTCATGTGTAGGAGGTAAGTTCTTAGAATGATTTGGGTTTGGAGGAAGGGTAGTGTAGAGCTTCACTTCCTTCAAGGTTGTTTTTCTCAATAGAAAAAAATTATTTTATGTAGTCAATTTTTCTCATTTGTAATTGTGTGTTTGATTTCTCTGCCATATCAGTGTTATTAAAATATTTTAGAACACTCTTCAACTTGTGCTTTTATATTATTCAGATTTGTTTGTTTCTTTGCCAGAAAAAAATATGGATTTTGCTGTTCTCATTGATAACTGCATTAACATTTTAATTCTTATTGCTTGGTAGACAAGGTTATTTTAATGGGTAAATTTGCCTTGTAGTATATCTCTAATCTATATCTTCATTATTTTATTGTAAATGAATGATGTGTTCTCTGGCACCTTGAGTAGATGAGATGACATTCCAGAGGCAGAGATGTTGAGATAGATTCAGATTGTTTAATTCATTTACAGATAGATTTTGTCAGGGGTCCCCAAGATTACTCCCCAGACTTGGTGGATCCTTAGGAGGACTCACAGGAGTTAGCATGTGATTATACTTTTGGCTATGATTTATCACAGTGAAAGTATACAAAGCAAAACCGGTAAATGGAAAGGCACTCAAGGTAAAGTCTGGAGGTAAATCAGCCACAAGCTTCTATGAGTCCTTTCCCAGCGGAGTTGCACAGGATGCACCCTATTCTGCCAGTAATGGGTGAAATGTCTCCCAGGAACACCTGCTTGAGCCTAGACTCCAGCATTTGTATCACTGGCTGGTCATGTAGGTCCGTAGTGCCTGTGTAACTGACTGCAGTCACTGAAGTTCCAGACTCTCAGAAGGAAAGCAGGTGCTTAGCATAAACCTCATTGTGTTGTTCATACAAACAGTAGAGGTACACTGAGCCACCATTATCATTTAGGGAACGTTTTCTAATCAAGTTCCCAGACACCAGCCAAGGGCCAATCTGTAAACAAGCCTTTCTGGAGACTGCAGTCATAAGCCTGCTATGTTAACTCTTTTCTGTACATAGATTAAAAGGTAAAAAATTTATTTGAGAGAGAGAGAGTGAGTGAGTGTGAGTAGGGGGAGGAGCAGAGCAGGGGGGAGAGGTTGGGGGAAAGAATCCCAAGCAGACTCCATGCTGAGCACACAGTCCGATCCGGCGCTCAATCCCACAACCCTGAGATCACCACCTGAGCTGAACCCAAGAGTCAGAGGCCCAATGGACTGAGCTATCCAGGTGCTCCTTTAGGTAAAAAAAAAATTAAAAATAAGAAGTTTCTCATCTGCACTTATTATGAGATTGTTTAATTGTAGGGAAGTTATATTGCAGGTTCTGTTCTAAATACAAATGACTTCTCTGGAGATTTTTGAGAAAAGTGGGATAAACCTACTCTAGTCTTTTTAGTAGAACATGGCAAAACTAGAACTTTGTGGGAGATAGCTACATCAGCTACCCTTAATGAAGTATGGGGCCTCTAGAGAACAGTTTGCACTGAACAATAGTGGTTGAATTGGTATGAACAGCAGATCCTAGGTTGACTAGGTGCACCCTGGGGTATTTAGCTGCTGTTGAGTGCAGCTAGGTCCTTGACCATTCATTCCCTCCAACCTGCTTACTCACCTCCCTCATGGGCCGGATAATATATTACAAAAGATTTTTTTATGATTACTTTTACAAAGGAGTAATGCCTAGGGTAGAGGTATCAGGCAGTTACCTGATAGGGCAGGATCTCCTGGATGGAGGGCACAGGAGTGGTTAAGGGTAGAATGTAATGTTAGATTGTTTTTATGCTGTGATGTACCCCTCTACTACCTAAGCCAGTACAAACCAGGGCCTAGACTTTCACTCTTCTCCCTGGATGTTCATTATCTGCCAAGGTAGTTAACTGATTTTACCATGATAAGATGAGCTCACAGACTCACATTTTGAACCCAGAAGGAAAAAAAAAAAATCATTCTAGAAGTAGTAGAGTGAACAGACCTGGTGCACAAAGAATTTAAAATAAAAACAGTAAATATCCTCAGAGAGATACTGGAGAATATAGGAAATATGAAACAGGAAGCTTCAAAGAAGAACGAATTGGAGATATTGGGTATCGATATATTATTGTTGAGGTAAAGATCTCAATGGATGGGTTTCATAATTGAATAGCAGAATGAATATAGCTGAAGAACAAAATAGTGATGTGGACAGTCAGGTTGGAGAATATTCTAAGAAAGGGGTAAAATTCTAAGAATTAGGAGACAGTAATAGGATAAAAAATAAAAAAGATGGGGCGCCTAGATGGCTCAGTTGGTGAAGCATGTGACTCTTGGTCTTGGGGTTGTGAGTTCAAGTCCCTGTTGGGTATAGAGATTACTTAAAAATAAAATCTTTAAAAATAAGTAAATAAATAAAAAATAAAAAAGTTAAGAGCTGTAGGGGATAAGAGAGGAAATGTTAATATCAGTATGAAGTCACTGAAAAATAAATGGCGGGATGTTAGTATTTGAAAAATAATTATTGGGGTGCCTGGGTGGCACAGTCAGTTGAGTGTCTGACTCTTGGTTTTGGCTCAGATCATGATCTCAGGGTCATGGGATTGAGCCCTGCATTGGGCTCTGAGCTCAGTGGGAGTTGGCCGGAGACTCTTTGCCCCTCCCTCCCCCTTCTTCTCCCCTCAGGCTCCCTTGCACTCTCTCTCAAATAAGTAAATAAATAACATCTTAAAAAAAAAAAAGAAAAGGGGCACCTGGGTGACTCAGTCATTAGGCATCTGCCTTCGGCTCAGGATCGAGCCCCGCATCGGTTTCCCTGCTCAGTGGGAAGTCTCCTTCTCCCTCTCCCACTCCCCCTGCTTGTATTCCCTCTCTTGCTGTCTCTCTCTGTCAAATAAAAATTAAAAAAAAATCTTAAAAAAAAAAGAAAAAGAAAAATAATTACTGAAAGTTTGTGGAATGGAAGATGTAAGACTTCAATTTGAAAGCGTTCGTATAACAGAATAGATGAGAAAACTCTATACCTAGATATATTAAATTCACATTTTAGACCACTAAATTCAAAAAAAGCAAGTGCTGCAAGTTTCCAGAAGAAAAATGCAGGTCAACTACTAAGCAATAAAAGTCAGACTGAATTTTCTGAGTAGCAGCACTGGATGCAAGAAGAGAGTAAAGTAGCATTTCTAAAGCATTGAAGAAAATAAAAATCAAGCTAAGCAGTGACGCATGAAAACATATTCTAAAATCCAGAACTAAAACTCTAGTCTAGATCAATGCTACTCAAAGGGCCAATCCAAAAACGGTTTGTTGCCCTTATCTTGATAAGATAAGGAGCTTGTGTGGGAATGTACATCAAATCAATACACTGCTTTTTTATTGAGAAAATCATGCTAAGAAAAAAAAGTCAGCTGAACTAAATTGTGTGCTTAGTAATAGAGTGATTTACACCGGCATAAAGCTTTTTTTTTTTTTTTTTTTTCCAATTGCAAACTGATACCCGTTTGTAGACCAACGCTGCTTTGTGGACCATCTTTTCAGGAGCACTGCTCCGGAAGCTATCAGCACGTGGTGAGTGTGGGTGAAGGTGTGCAAGACCCTAGGGACAAAAGAGTGAGCTTAGACATTTGTCTTGGTTTTGTGGTGGAGAAAAGATGTAGGTATTGATAAACCTTAACAATTTATAGGGAAAAATAAGCATATATATGAACTTATTCAGTTGGACTATCCACCATAAGACTAAAACCAGGATGTAGATCTTTTAAAATAGAACAAGGAAATTGCATTTTTCTAATGGAAGAATTAGAAAAAGATAAGTAAATAACCTTAAAGAGAATGGTAAATAGATAATTAGAAATAAGATGGCTGAAATAAGACCATAAGACCTAATATCACAGCAACATAATAAATATAAATAGTCTAAACCAATAAAATGATAAGATTCTTGTATTGGTAAAAAAAACCAAATAAGACAACAAAATACAAGTTTCAAATCTATCAGATAATTCTATATGTTGTCTTTGAGTCAAAGTTTAAAATAAAAATATGTAGCCTTTCATCTTCTGAACTACTTAATGGAAGCGAGAGGCAGCTGAGGGGATTAATATCTAGAATAAAAGGAACTTTAATATATTACAAAATATATATATATATATATATATACATATATATATAAAATTAACCCAAATAGAGAAAAAGCTAGGCAAAGCATATGAGTGGTCAATTCACTAAGAGGGAAACTAAATTGTGCAGAAACAAGAAAAAGATTTATGACACAATTACATAATGGCTTATGACTCTTCCAAACATAGAGGGACCATTAAAAGAACACCCAGGCTTAATAATAGTAATTAAATTTGGCCATCTTTGATATCTTGCCAGCATTTGTTCTTATACAAACAACAGGTTTATGTTAAAAAATTTTTGTTCCAAACGTATATTTGTTAAGGTAGGAGGATAGAACATATTTTATTTAACAATTTGTTACCTTGATTTATAACTTTAAAAATATTTGGATATACCAGAAGTGGGCCTGTACCTACACTCTCACCTGGCTCCGCAAGTATCAGGGGCGGGCCTGATAAAGGAAGCAGAATTACAAAAAAGCATCATAGCAGGCCTTTATACGTACTGTGGAAGCTTATACAAGTGCTACAGTGGCTAAATGATGTAGTAATTTCCTATTGCTGCTGTAACAAAGGAACTTAGTGACTTATAACAACACAAATTTCTTGTCTTACAGTTCTGGAGTTCAGACGTCTGAAATGGCTTTAACTGGGCTAAAAATCAGGGTGTCGGCAAAGGCTGTGATCCTTCAGGAAGCTCTAGAGGAGAATCTGCTTCCTTGCCTTTGCCAGCTTATCTAGAGGCAGCCTGAAATCCTTGCCTTGGGACTCCATCCTCCATCTTCAAAGCCAGGCAGATAGCATCTTCTATCTCTCTCTCACTCTGACTCTCTTCCCTCCCTCCTTCCCTTATGAGGACCTTTATGCTTATATTGGACTCACCCAAATAAGACAAAATAATCTCCCCATTTCAAGCTCCTTAATTTAATCACATTTGCAAAATCCCTTTTGCTATGTAGGGTACCATGTTCACATATTCTAGGGCAGAGGAGATGGATGTCTTTTGTGAAGACATTCCTTTCTTTATCACAGTTGGAGCACGGAATTGGAAGGCAGGTGGAAATTGGAGATCTTGGAGGAATATTTTTACTTTTTACCTTATATCATTTTGTACTACTGTTTAAATTGTTTTTGCCAAAAGATACTACTTTGGTAATAATAACTATTAAAAATATTTTGATCCCTCAGTCATTTTTGTTGTTGTTGTTTTTTTATAGAAGGTAAATTTTATATCATGCATCTCTTTGCCTTGTAGAAACATTATTTCTATGGTCTCTTAATTAAAGTCATTAGGTTGAAATAATCCCATTTAAAAATTTATTTATTTATTTATTTGAGAGAGAGAGAGCTTATGCACACAAGCGGGGTGGAGCAGAGGGGGAGGGTGAGGAGGAGAGAATCCGAAGCAGACTCTGAGCTTCAGCACAGAGCCTGAGGGAAATAATCCCATTTAACAGAGATCCAAATTGGTGTATATAGAGCATAATTGAATTACCTGATATTTGTACTTTAAGGGACTAGCTTTTGGAAGAAGAAAAACAGTGGAATAAAAGACTGTAAGTAAGGCATTAAAAAAAAAAAAGATGTTTAGGAAATATTTCAGCATGTCACTTCCCCCAAACTAGTTCCAATCTGTGTGTTGAGTCTTATTCATCAATACTGATGCCCCAGGGGACAAGGAGTTATTTGCTTCCAAATGGGCCTAAGACAAATATTAAGTTAAATACTCAGTGGCCTATTTCTTTTTTTTTTTTTTAAGATTTTATTTATTTATTTGACAGAGAGAGACACAGTGAGAGAGGCAACACAAGCAGGAGGAGTGGGAGAGGGAGAAGCAGGCTTCCCGCCGAGCAGGGAGCCCGATGCGGGGCTCAATCCCAGCACCCTGGGATCATGGCCTGAGCGGAAGGCAGACGCTTAATGACTGAGCCACCCAGGTGCCCCTCAGTGACATATTTCTAATGCCATCTTGGACAATTCTGCCCTGAGCACTGCTCTAGGACCTGAAGCCTTCTTGGGTACAGGTCTCCCCCTACATTCTTTCCTTGTTCAGCCACACCCTTAAGTACACCCTATAGGCATAATGTCTTTGATCTGCTGTGGAGATATGACCATGACTCACACCAATTCTTAAACCTTCTCCTGGGTGGTCCCCTAACAGGTGCCCAGCCTGTAGGACTATCAAAGCAGGTCTCTAGGGAGGTGGGGTTGCTGAGCTGTACTTGTCCTGTGGCACCGGAGATGCACGTCTGTAAGTCCCCTTAATAAAACACTTCTTGTCAGGGCTGGACTTGTCAGCCTTTTTCTTTAGACGTGTGGCTGAGTGACTCCTTTGGCCTTTGGAGGCCATTTTGCATACACCTCCCTATCATGGAACACCGGGAAAACATAACTTTTCTGCAGTCATAATTATTTATCTCCCTCTTTTCCTGATCATTTCACATTGCCAAACCAGATTTAAGTGGTCATAAAAGACATGATCTTAAAACAGAAATTATTTAATACATGTACAATGGACAAAGATAAAAGCAGCCTACTCTTCACATCACTGCCTACATCCTTTTCCCCCAAAGTATCTCCCAAAAGTCAGGGTGCTGTCCCTCTGGATGGAGGTGTCTCAAGATAGATATTGTGATATCGATTGACTTTTGAAGATGGAAGGATGACTGCTGGTGTTTCCACGGCTGTTGTTTCTAGGGTTCTCGTTTTGAAGAATTAGGGTTTATAGATCAACTTGTGGTGCAAGCTCATCCCTGGTTCATTCTCTCCAGGCTTCTTATAACCAGTAGGGGCTCAGTCCTAATTGGTTTACTCACTCTTAGGACAAATTGGTTAGAAGCTTCTCATAGGTCTGATTGCTTTATCATGCTCAGCCAAGTAAAATATAGAAACAGTAAATCAAAAAAAGAAAGATCTTATCTACCTTTTCTCAGCACAGAGCATTTAACATCTAAACATTTTCAAGTCTCGTAACCTTTTTTTTCCCCCAAAAGGTGAGATAATCTTAACAGTATTCTTTAGAAAATTCCCCTAGACACACTTTCAAATCATATTAAACCACTCCAAAACTATTGGTAGCATATTAAAAAACAAGAATTTAACAAGAAGAAATGGGGCATAAGAAAGAAAGGTCACTAGTAAGAAAGCAGTCAATGGAAAAATAATTTAGATAGATGTTAATGCAGCATAAAGTACTCAAGGAAAAATATCTTAATGTAGGACTTCTGACTTAAAAATTTTTTTGATTTGTTATATGGAATATCTGAGCTTTTACATTTCATTAACATAATCAATGCGACAGGTGACTAAAATAAAGAAAGATTTGAATAGAACAGACTGAAGGAAGTGGTATGAAGTGGAGCAGCTATCAACACAAGAGTTCTTCAGCCTCTGTTGTCTATGTTTTTGCTGCTATCCAAAAGTTAAGTGACATAGTGATTTATTTTTAAAAACCATGCTTTTGAATTCATAATTTTATCCTCTTTTTTTTTTTTCTCTAATCCAGTACAGTGGAGACGGGGAAAATGGTCAAGTTCAGGAAATATTTAAAGGAGGAATCAGAAAGTTTTACTGAGGGATTGTGGGAGATGAGTGATAGTAAAGAATCAAAGGATGAGACTTCTATATCCAGTAATGGCAGACAGAAATTTACACCAACCTTCCCAATGAAGGAAAGTAGAAAAGTTAGAAATAATAATAATTATTAGAATAATTCTGTTGGAATTTACCAGGGAACTTGCAAGGTAACAAAGAATTACCTGACCAAGATTGAGAAAAAAATATATGGATTGGTGAAGCTGGTATTTGGAACTACTTTTACTTCAGGATATTCATTAATCTAGAGGAGGGGACTGAAAGATTAAGGGGTGTTTAGACAGTCTCTTGGGGGCAGGGAGAGGAGGGAAGAAGGGGGAGAAAATAAAACCATTCCTTACATAGACTGCAATCTAGCTTTGAGGCATCTGGTGGTTTACAAAATCTGTCCTTAAAATTGGATTAAGATGATCCCAGATAGCTAAATCCACAGATTCAATGAACATTGTCTCTGGAGAAAGATAAAATCATTACAGGGCCTCAAATTATTTCTACGATTTGAAAAGCAACACATAATACCTGGCACAGGAGGAAGCGAACTTCACAGAAAGAACCAAAAGAAACAATAGATATTTACCCACAGCCACTCTAAATATTGGAATTATCAGACAGAGACTTTAAAATACCCTTTTAATGTTCAAAGAGACAAAAAAAAAAAAAAGCAAAATTAAAAGTTTTGGTAGAGAACTAGAAATTATAAAAATGACACCAGTTTCAAAAAAAGAATAAATAAACATTCTAGAATAGAAAAAAACAATTCAGTAACCAAAGACTAAGTAGCAAAACTGAAGCGTGAATTGGGGAAGTTCAACTTCAGGGACCATAGTCTTAACAGCTATTTCAAAACTAGGAAAAAAATTCGAACATTTTTAAACTTCCAAATTTAACTCTTTGAAGTTCAACCAACTTAGACTATTTTCTAGTTATTCATTGAAAACGTAGCATCATCTTATAAAAGATAGCATGATCAAATATGTAATCTGGAAACAAAAATTTTAAGTCACTTAAATATTAAAACTATGATAGTTCAAAAGGACATTTGTCATTCTCCTGAGAAAGGTCCGTTGTAAATTAAAGTGCAGACAGATATCAGCTTTTAATGTTTCATATTCTTTTACTAGAAAGTTACACAGAAATAACTTATTATTAATTTAATACTGTCTGAAACATTTAAGGTGATTGCATTTAGCTCATTTTGGAATATTTCTTTTTAAAATTTCCTGTCCCTTCTTGACTCTCTTTTTAGAATAACTTTCCTAAATGTTAGGTTTTAGCCATGGTATATGACTTGGCTTTTCATTCTTTTCAATTCATTTCTGTATTTTTCTGGACTTCCCCTTCCCAGTTGTCATTCGTAGATGAAAATAACATAACGGCCTCTAAAGTCCACCCCCCATCCCCCACTGTGAGAATTGCCCTCTAGTCCCGAAGTGGCCAGAAATCATCTAAGAAGATTCACCAAGGGGTGCACAAGGGGAATGAAGCAAATCAAACACTTGATTGAGGGGCTGATCAGGAGTTTACAGAAAGGGGTAATTGTTGGGGGGTACCTCCAGCTATCCCTCCCTTTTCTAAAGCGTCGGGGTGGGGATCCCTTTTTCCTTTTAGGCCTGCACCTTAATGCAGAGCTCCCCCTAGGTTCTTTTTCTTTTTGAGAGAGAGAGAGAGAAAGCCTTGAGGGTGGAGGGGGGGAGCAGCAGCAGAGGGAGAAGGAGAGAGAATCTTAAGCAGGCTCTATGCTCATTGCCTGAGCTCAAGACCCTGAGATCATGACCCAAGCCAAAATCAAGAGTCCCATGCTTAACACACTGAGCCACGCAGGCGCCCCGGTTACATTTTCAACAAGATTTCTATTCAGTAATTTGGTTTCTTGGGGATGAAAGACAATTGGTTGACTGGCATACCACTGTACTTGAGACCAGAATTAGATCAGATTATTTTCCAACATTTATCCACATGGCAGGCATTGTGAGGTACCACCTGATTCCTTCAGTGAAGGATTTTTTGCTCCAATGTTGAGAGTATTGTCAGTTAAAGTCAGACCCTTCATGGATTGCCTCACCTAACGACATGCTCCTTCTTAGAGCTCTATCTAATGACTGATATATGCAGGAATATAAAATATGGCCATTTTAGCATAACAGAGGACAACTCTAAAGGGTGTTTAAGCTCCAGAAGTCCCCATGGGGATAGCTGAACTTGTGGGACTACCTTATTGTTTTATTTCTGGCTCTGCCCACCTCAGTTCCTGTTCCTTCATTTTCACAAATGATGAGTTCAAGGTTATTCCTTAATAAACATCTTTCACACTAAACTCCATTTTAGAGTGTGCTTTCCAGGATACTCAACCTATGAAAATTTTATCTCAAATTTCCCTGGAATGAGGCATGGAATCTATTTTCCATACATCTATCTATCCATCCATCCATCCATTCATTCACCAATCCAACCATCTCTTTACACTACTATTTTTATT